AAAAAAAAACTCTCTGTAGACAAGAGATATTTTTCCAAAAATAAACACCAACATAATCAGAATCGATATGCATGAACTATTGTCATTTGATATATAGCATTTGCTCAAATGTCAGTCAAGACCAGAAAGCTACAAAAATGACAGAATATGAAAAATAATCAAAAATGTAGCCAGGCATTCCAAAATGTCCAAGTGTTATAGCTAAATTTGTTTTTTGGCCAGTACTCCCTTGACAGTACCTCATCCAATGATATTCACATCTCAGAAAAGATAATGGCTAATTTTTTGGACATGAACATTTCAAGTCATGTGTGTGGCTATTTGATAAATATGCTGCTCCTCTGATTTTATATTTCAAACTTTTGTTATGATTAATTGTTGAAAGTTATTTCTGCAATGCCTCATACATCATTAAATACCGTAAAATTATTTATTGAAGCAAAGATAAAGATATAAATGAAAGAGCTCTTGAAAATATTTGTGTTGCACCATAAATGAATGAATTTTTAGTTGGACATTAATAATGATTGATTACCAATAATATGCACTTTATTTTAAAATTTGTTTTCAATAGGTTTTATTTTGTGGCAATCATATGAAACAATTGTTTTAAATGAAATGAAAATGATCTGTGACACATTTTTTCTCTAATGTGTTTAACTTAATTTTAACTGATGCTGAACTAAATTACTACAGTAGACTCCGGCAAATCGGATACCCAAAATGTCAGCTAAAAATATCCGATTACCCGATATATTCAATTAGACGATGAATGTATATTCATTGAATATTCTGCAATAATGAGTAGATATTATCCTGAGATGTTGCTAACCCTGACAATTGCTAAATATGTGAAAGGGCTGGAGGATTGATGGAGTGATTTTTATCAGTTACATCACCACGATGTTTGTGTAAAAAATTATCAGCTGATTATGTAATGATTAAATTTGTTTGCAGTTTTTAAATCCTTTATTTATTAAAATAAAATCAAATGTCCTGAAATATTTATGTGAATTATTATCTACCATCCATAGTTTGTCTTTATTTGTTTTGTAAGTAAATTAATATCCATTATTTACATTATCACACAGGTAAACTAATTTGGCTATAAATAGATCTGAGCATGTCTGTGTAGAATCTCCAAACTAAAATCGTATTTGTTATAATTTTATTTCTTTAAATAATCAAATTTAAATTTATGAAAATAATCATGATTGATAAAATATTATTGCATAAAGTTTACGTTTTCTGAAGACTATTTATATTTAGGTCATAGTTCTAGAGGCTTCCTAACAAATTTGTTAACATCCAAAATGGCGTCCATGACATGTGGTTACTTTTGCACATGTGAAAAAATTTATCTGACAAAAGTCAGATTTCTCTTGTCAAAAGGGATTTATATTTATATTGCAATAAATTATTCAGAAGGAGGTACATTCAGTTTAGATTATATTTCTGATTCTGTGAACATTTAGAGTTTAATCAAAATTCTCCAAACAGCAACGTCAACTTGTCAACTGAGTCTTGCATACTTTATAAATAAATTCAAACCATTTGAAGTAAAAGGGCATCTAATTCACGTGACAAAGGAAGACAATGATTAAAGACAATAATTTATTAAGAAATAGTTCCTTTTATTTACACTACAAACCAGTAAAAGTCTGAAATGGCCTATATCTGTACTCGACTGTACTGATTTTTACTCGACCAGTCTGAATTGGTCTGAATTTTACTCGACAATACTCAACCCTAGTCTTAACCATACTCGACCGTACTGATTTGTACTTGACCCTTATCTTTGCCATTGAAAATAGTCTGAACTATTACTCGACCAGTCTGAAACAGTCTTAACCCATTCTCTACCAATTTTTTCAGTCTTAACCATACTCGACCAAAGGTCTGAACAATACTCGACCAGTCTGAACCATACTTGACCAAAAAACCTATACTTTTTTTTAATTTTAGCTGTTAAAATTAATTTCTTTTTTTCTGACATGACAACAGCCACAATAAAATAAAGATATATATAAAAACATATTTTTACATCCTTACATGATTCTCAGATTTATCAAATAGAGATAGTTAAATTAAATTATTTTATTTAATAATTTAATTATATTAATTTTAAAGTTTTAGAGTGTTGTTAAAAAAAAGATTTTCTTTTAACTTACACCTTTACTGAGGGTAATAAAACCTTATTAAGGTGCTTCTTGTTTGGCATGTGTTTTTTTTTTTTTTTTTTTTTTAAACTTAATTTTCCTAAATTCCTAAAGAAAAACTATATAGGTTTCATGGTTACATACAATAGTTATATAATTATCTTTTTAATGAGGTAACAACAGCCAAAAAATCACTGAAATTGTTTAACCTTATATTAGAAATATATCTGTTCTTATTATAATTTGGGATATATTATATATAATATATATCAAAAAAGGATAAAAAAAAATTAAAGAAATAGATAAAATTTTTCTTCTGATTAGTGGTAAAGTATAAAGTAATACCTCCTGCTTGGGGCAAACTCATTAAAAAGATCACACCTGGCCAGAGAGTATTAATTTCTAATTAGCATTCATTAAAAATTGCAACATCCTGTAAAACTTAAATCGCAAGGCCTTTTGAATTCACTAGATAAGTAATACAAGAGTTTAAGAAAAAAAGGGCTTTCTTTTTACCTGTAAAACACACATGTACTGAGGTAATTAAACCTTATTAAAGTGCTTCTTGTATGCCATATCTTTAATTTTGACAAAAGGTATTTAAATTTAATTGAAATAAAGTTTTTCTGCAACTTTGGAACACATTTCCTTTTTTAAATGGTTATCAAGGATTGCTATGGAAGTTCTATCATGATTATATTAAATTCTTGGATTTACAAAACAAAGGTGTGATATTTAAAATTTATTAAGTTGCTTTATATACTATTTTAAATATATTTTAATAAAAAAGATGTTCACTGCATTATTAACTAAACTCAACTGACACCATAAATCTATACAAGGCTTAAGTAAATGGTGAAAATTGTCCAGTTACCATAAAATATATCTGAAACATTCAAAAAAATTTGAATAACATTGAAAATATTAGCCACAATTCAGTTTTGAGATTATTTGATCAGCTTGTTTTATTTTTATTTTAAAGGTGATATATATATGTAAGTGTTGATAAATATGGTGTTGAATTTATATTATGTTTATTGTGAAATTTTGGTTTCAATGCCATATTGAATACATTTTAAATTTCAAATTGTTGTTCAAATTTCTAGCCAGGGAAAATAGCTGTTAAAAACAGTTCCTAAATTGATGAAATACAATAGATAGATACAAAAATTAGGTCTAGGTTGGTTAAGACTTAGTCGAGTATGGTTCAGACTAGGTCGAGTATGGTTCAGACTAGGTCGAGTATGGTTCAGACTAGGTCGAGCATGGTTCAGACTAGGTCGAGCATGGTTCAGACGAAAATAAAACGGTTAAGTACTGGTCGAGTACAAGTTCAGACTGTTAAGTATGGTTCAGACTACAGTCGAGTATTATCAAGTAAATTTCAGACCAATTCAGACTGGTCGAGTAAAAATCAGTACATTCGAGTACAAATATAGGCCATTTCAGACTTTTACTGGTTTGTAGTGTTAGTAAAAACAAAATCTTCTTGTCTGCAAGATTGTAAATTCGTAACTTCCGGGTACATTTCCTGTCAGAAAAACATTGAAAATATCCGATTGTGCATGGTTTTGAACAAAATGACCTGAATATTCTTATCCGATTTGCCGATATATTCTTATATCCGATATTCGATTACACGATAAAATTAACATTAAACATATAGGGAATGGTTTGGTGTTTTGAAATAATATTATAATAGCCGATATATTCGTTTAGCTGATATCCGATTAGGTGGAGTCTACTGTAGTAATAAGTAATATTTTTTGTGAGGATCTTAAAAGGTTGAAACCAATAGAGAATTTAATTTAGAGAATGTAAAGCTTAATGTGATATTAGAATTTCTTTATATTTTATTTATAACATGTATTATATAATATGTATGTATACCAGCATTTCAACTTCAAGTTGTTCTCTTAGAGTTATCTCCCATATAAGCAGTGCAATAACAGTTTGGTAAAAACATTTCATCTGACTACATATTTGTAGCATTTGATGATGAACCACTTAGTATTTTTGCATTGATAGTTGCAAATATAATTACTTACATGATTTAATCCTTGGATGTTTATAAGTGGAAAACTATTGTACTTCTTACTCAGGAAATTAAAGGATCTAGTCATGTTCTGCTCATAACTTCTACATTTTTTAAAGGGTATTGGTTTATAAGTTATTGTTCATATTGTTGCCCACAACCAAATTTTTAAGGGATGTGCCTGAAGCAAGTTTAAAATTTTGACTGTATCACAAGATAACAAATGAGTTTAACTTTACATACCTCTCATCTTTATACATGTTTAAAATTTTGTCTCCATTAGAAGTTTTGAATGCCATTAACTATCTATATATTGATAATACTAAGTACAATTTTTTCTGCCATCAGATGTATAAGGTTGAATTTTCTATCTGCCAGATTTTCAGAATTGATTTACTAACCATATTTTAATCCTTATAACTTATGTTCAACTATTTTAAGTTGTGTCAAGCACAACACAGAGTCACAGTAGAAAATTATTGATACAATGTGTATTAGATGCCTTCCACCAGCTTGTGTGTCAGGAGCAAATTAATTTTGTGTGGTCTAATCTCACTCTAAGTCATAAAATTAATTCATGTTTATATTTCTTGTTATTTTTATATTCAGAATTTTTGATAGTTCAAGAACTTCAAGAGATTGCAAAATATTTATTATTAACTGTTATTTTTTTAAACAGCATCATGGAGCTTGTAATGTATAAGCTTGGAATGTCTTTTTACAAGGTCAAACTAGTCGTTTTCCTTGCATTTAGTTGTGAGATCTGCTCTAGATATCTCTAGCTATTTTTTTTAGTCATTTTAAAGGTTCATTAAATATAAATTTAAATTCAAACATACACAGTGGTGATCCAGGAATGAAGCCCAGAGAGGCCAATTCAAACATAAGCAGTAAACTCTGCAATAAAAAATCAGAATATTGCACTCAAACTCGAACTTTCAGTCATCAGCCCAATTAAAATAAGCAGACCCAGTTCACAGTGAGGTGGAAATACTATGAAATTGAAAAATCTTTATTTATACAGTAGATATACAAAATATTTGTGTTCCTTTTCATAAACAATAATGATTTGAAAACCTATTTGTCACTGTGATATCTTAGTATTTGTATTGATTCCAATAATTTTTGAATTTGAAATGTTTTGGAAATTCAACTGTGAATTCAGATATGTTTGTGATTACCTATTTTCCTGGATTGAGGAATAATTGATAATTTTATAGCTACTTCCTCTTGTAGTTAGAATTGAGAATGGAAATGGGGAATGTGTCCGAGAGACAACAACACGACCACAGAGCAGAAAACAGCTGAAGGCCACCAATGGGTCTTCAACACAGCGAGAAAATCCAGCACCCAGAGGCAGGCTTCAGCTGGTCCCTAAATAAAAATGTGTACCAGTTCAGTGAAAATGGACATCATACTAAACTCCAAAACTTATAAATGAACTAAAATTATGAAGGCCAGAGGCTCCTTAATTGGGACAGGCGCAAAAAATGCGGCAAAGTTAAACATATTTTGAGGGATCTCAACCCTCCCTGGCCCCTATACCTCTAGCCAAACATATTTACATACACACTTATATGAAAGTTGTTTATTTTTTGCTCACTTGATTAAATGGGTCACCTTTATCAACAAAATCCTTGAAAATTAGTAGTGCATAAATATCTATGAATTCACAGTATGTATATTTATGATGTTGTATTATAATTATGTTCTGTGTTAACAAAAATATTTTTATTGATTATCAAGATTATACATTTGATTTATATGCTATTTTCATTGTTCCCAGCATTGTTTAAAATTGATTTTATTTATATCATATGTTTAACCATTGATTTACATTCACATTAATAAAATCACACAATAATTTTTTGATTCACAGTATATATAAAAAATTTAGACAGAAAACTAATTACACTATGTATCTCAAATTCACTTTAACCCGTTCTCATATAAATTTAACACAACTTTAAAATTGACTGAAGAAATCTTCCTTCCGATTTTTGTGTTGCCTTGACGGAGTCAAAAAGCGATGTCTGTGACGTCAACAATGTATTAGTTTGAGATTAGATCAGTTAAAGGGGAACCACTAGTGGTAGGTCAATAATATTTGGTATGTAGATGCATTGGAGTTTTTTTTGGTTCAACCCCCTTAGTTATGGTCTATAGACTTCAAATGAATTTTTATAGTTTACATGTTTAAGTTTGTGATTAGATCAGTTTACGAGGAAAAGCTTATGTTAAACCAATGATATAATGATATGCAGTTGTTTAAGCATTTGCAAGTATTTTTCATGGTGATTATAACGGCCCAACTCTCTCAGCAATGTTAATTAACTTGAAACTTTTACATTGTTTTCAAATTGAAATTTTTTTTTAGGTTATTGTAAAAGGGAACCACTTATGATAGGTCGATGGTATTTGGTATGGAGTTTTATAAGCATTGGCAATTCTAATTACCATTGGGTTATTTGGTACTGCACCATAAGTCATGGTTCATTAACTTTGAATGTTTTGCATAGTTAACATGTTTAAATATTTCCCTTTTGATTCAATATTGTCATTATACTATCAAATTACCAAAAAGCGAGACATACTTTATCTGTGTCAACAGTTTATTTTAATGTTCAGCTCTGTCATTCCAGAGCTACTGAGCATTAACTGTTAGATATAAGGCAATTTACTTTTTCAAAAATCATGCACTCACTCTAGCATTGAAAGGAACATTTCTGCTGATTTTTGGAAAGATTGAAACTTGTTCCAATTCTTGCCTAAGGCGCCGGCTATCAAACGGAAAGTCAACAGATAAGCTACTAAATCTATACATGCTAAAAGAGGGACGAAAGATACCAGAGGGACAGTCAAACTCATAGATCGAAAGCTAACATATAGTTCCCAATTGTTCTCATGGCTGTGTTCATATGCACAAGTGAACTGGCACTCATACCACATCTTCTTATATCTATGGAAAGAAATTCGGTACATCTTAACTTACAGCATTTTTTCAAAAATAACAGTTATTACCTTTTTTAGCCAAGTGAGCTTTTTTCATCACTTAACGTCGGTCATCCGTTAACTTTTACAAAAATCTTCTCCTCTGAAACTACTGGGCCAAAGTTAACCAAACTTGGTCACAATCATCATTGGGGTATTTAGTTTTAAAAATGTGTCCGACGACCCGGCCCGCCATCCAAGATGGCTGCCATGGCTAAAAATAGCACATAGGGGTAAAATGTAGATTTTGACTTATATCTCTGAAACTAAAGCATTAAGAGGAAATCTGACATGTATTAAAATTGTTCATCAGGTCAAGATCTATCTGCCCGGAAATTTTTAGACAAATCAGACAACCCCGTTGTTGGGTTGCTGCTCCTGAGTTGGTGATTTTAAGAAAATTTTGCAGTTTTTGGTGATTATCTTCAATATTATTATACATATAGATAAACTGTAAACAGCAATAATGTACAGCAAAGTAAGATCTACAAATAAGTCAACATGACCAAAATGGTCAATTGACCTCTTAAGGAGTAATTGCCCTTATAGTCAATTTTTAACAATTTTTCATAATTTTTGTAATCTTTTACAAAAATCTTCTCCTCTGAAACTACTGGGCCAAATAGAATCAAACTTGGCCACAATTATCATTAGGGTATTTAGTTTAAAAAGGTGTCCGATGATCCAACCCGCCGACCAAAATGGCCGACATGGCTAAAAGTAGAACATAGGGGTAAAATGCAGTTTATGGCTTATATCTCTAAAACTAAAGCATTTAGAGCAAATCTGACAACCGGTAAAAATGTTCATTAAGTGAAGTTCTTTCTGCCCTGATATTTTCAGACGAATCAGACAACCTGTTGTTGGGTTGCAGCCCTGAATTAGTTATTTTAAGGAAATTTTGCAGTTTTTGGAAATTATCTTGAATATTATTATAGATAGAGGTAAACTGTGAACAGCAATAATGGTCAGCAAAATAAGATCTACAAATAAGTTAACATGACCAAAATTGTCAATTGACCCCTCAAGGAGTTATTGCTCTTTATAGTCATTTTTTTGCAGTTTTTGTAAATTTTTGTAATCTTTTACAAAAATCTTCTCCTCTGAAACTACTGAGCTAAATAGAATCAAACTTAGCCACAATCATCATTAGGATATTCAGTTTAAAAAATGTGTCCGATGATCCTGGCTGCCAACAAAGATGGCCGACATGGCAAAAAATAGAACATATGGGGTAAAATGCAAGTTTTGTCTATTATTCTGATAACCGTTATAAAAAGAGGAAATCTGAAGGTAAAATTGTTTAGAATGTTGAGCTCTACCAATTATCCATATACATCAAAACTGTAAGACAATTTCCTGTAGGAGTTATTGCCCTTAAATGACAAATTTTACCACTTTTTTTCGATTTTTGCCTTTTATCATATCTTGAAAACTATAAAAGATAGAGAGAAACTTTAAATTGCAAAAATGATCAGGAGGACAAGTTCTTCAAATAAGTCTTATGGTTGAAATTACCAGTTGACTACTTATTAGAGTTATTTCCCTTTGATGCCGATTTGTACAATTTTTTTGGCGTTTTTGTCTTATATCTTAAAACTTATAATTAGGAATGTTTCCCCCTCTTTTGTGTTTGGAGCAAAAGCTAAATAAGATAGAGAGAAATTAAACAGACTTCAATGATCAGCAATATAAGATATAAAAAAACCAGAGATTTTTGTCATTAATTCTTTTATTGTCTACAATGCTGGTGAGTGTCCTTTGTTGAATATCCATATAGACCAAGGTGAGCCGCACAGGCTCTTTAGAGCCTCTAGTTTTTCATTTTTGCCTTTCATCTTGAAAACTATAACTGATACAGAGAAACATTAAAATGCAAAAATGATCAGCAAGACAAGTTCTACAAGTAAGTTTACATTTTCGAAATCGTCAGCCTACTCCTTGTGACAGTTATTGCCCTTTGATGATGATTTTTTTAAATATTTTGCGTTTTTGCCTTTTTTCTTAAAAATTATAATAGATAGATGGAAACCTACATACAGTAAGCAAAAATGATCAGCAAGACAAGATCTAAGACTCAATTAAGACAATATAGGGGAAATCATCCAATCTACTAACAAGTTACATTTTGCCCAGTTCCTTGAATAAGGATTTTTATACGACCGCAAAAATATAAATTTTTGGTCGTATATTGGTATCACGTTGTCGTCGTCGTCGTCGTCGTCAGCGTCGTCCGAAGACAGATGGTTTCCGGATAATAACTTTAGTATAAAGTAATAGAAATCAATAAAATTTTAACACAAGGTTTATTACCACTCCAGGAAGGTTGGGATTGATTTTGGGGGTAATGGTCCCAACTGTTTAGGAATTAGGGGCCAAAAAAGGGGCCCAAATAAGCATTTTTGTAGTTTCCAGGCAATAACTTGTGTTAAAGTGTATGAATCTCTCTGAAATTATACCACAAGTTTCTATACTTCAAAGGGATGGTTAGGATTGACTTTGAGGGGTTATGGCTCAAACCATTTAGGAATTAGGGGCAAAAAAGGGGAAGAAGGGTTTTTCTGGTTAAAGGACAATTGAGACAATTTAAAAGCAGTGTAAGGGAGGTAATCCAAATCCAAATCAATTTAAATAACAATGTTTGATTACCTCCCTTACACTGCTTGCAAATTATGTATTAAGAAATGATGATTGTCTGAGATACTGACCATAACTTGAGGGAAAGAATTATTTCTTTGAATAAGGGAAAGGGGGAGGTAATCAAAATTGGAGGGGGACAATTTTTCTCAATTCAGATTTCAGAAATTAAAAGAAAATTTCTTCAAATATTTTTTTTTGGGGGGTTAATATTCAACAGCATAGTGTATTGCACAAACGCAAAAAAAACGGGGTAAATTTTTTTTTATTTTTTTGGGGGGGGGGGGGGGGGTCAATTCGCATAGTGTATTGCACAAAAGCAAAAAATTGAATATATATTCAAATCATATAACCAATTTGAAGTTCTTTGACTACAGTTATTCTGTGTCAGAAACCTATCATGTGTCAAAATTTAATTACAATCCAAATTCAGACCTGTATCAAGCGTGAATATTGTGTCCATTTTGGTCCCAACTTTTCAGGGTTGGACATCTGCGGTCCTATCCAGCTGCGCTCAGTGAAGCAATTTATTTTACCCTCTTGTGTGTTTTGAGCAAAAACTAGAAGATAGAGAGAAACTAAACAGACTAAATGATCAGCAGTACAAGATCAACAAAACAGAGATTTTTCTTATGAATTCTATTCTTGTCTTCAATGTTGGAGAGTTTCCTTTGTTAAGTATGCACATAGACCAAGATGAGCGACACAGGCTCTTTAGATCCTCTAGTTTTCAAAAGGAAAGAGGAAACATTGAAACTGTAAAGTGGGGTCTAAATTTTAATTGATAGATCAGTGCAATAGTCGTCTGTAACTAATCAATTATTTACATTACATTTATCATTGACTGGCTGGAAAATATTAGTAAAATGTCAAAACTATTAACCTGAGCAAACCAATATATTTTTTATGTGTATTTATCCCCCATTACTTTTTATCAAACATCATTCATAAGTTGTTACATGTAGTATATTTGAATACAACAAGTGTAGTTTTTGTCTCGACGAGACGAAGGTAGCAGTAAGCCAGACATAAGAATTACTATCTGGTGACGGTGGCAGTGGCGATGTTAACTAAATGTTTAAATCTTAGAGGGCATGGATGCTTCATACTTTGTTTGCAGATACCTTATGTTACACAGTTTCCGTCTGTCATGTGTCCATTGTCCTTGACCTCATTTTCAGCAACTGCCATGTCATGTTTATTTCTCCCTTATTATGAGTAATAGGATACTCTAACCTTGACCTCATTTTCATGGTTCATTGATCATTATGGTCAATGTTTAGATTTTGTGATTTAGTCTGTTTTTCAATTACTATAAGCAATAGGTCAACTATATTCTTGTGTATGGAATGATTGGAAGGTGTACATGTCTGTCTGGCAGGTATCTGCTGACCTTGACCCCATTTTCATTATTCATTGGTCAATGTTAGTGTTTGTAAATCTTTTTACACGAAGTTTGCGGTAGTTGCGTGCATTTCAGTGATAAATTGACGCGGATAGACATGAATAATGTGACACTGCTGCATTGCGAGAAGTTATTGTCTAATAGTGTCGAGTACCACGTACTATTTGTGATAGATCTATATACAAACGCACAGATAACTACGATGTTAAATTGTAACAAATACAGTTTCTTCTACTAAACCAAACCACCAAAGATTGAAATAAACTCCGAGAGAATATTTCATATACTCTAAAAATGCTTACATGTATATCTGAATATTAAAATTAAGAAGATAAGATTGTAAAAGAGAGGCGAAAGATACAAACGGAATATTCAAACTTATGTGTCGAAAAAAATAATCTGACAATGCTATGGCAAAAAAACGAATAAACAATCAAAAGAAAAACAAACAACATTATACAAAACACAACATAAAAAACTAAAGAACGAGCAACACGAACCCCACCAAAAACTGGGGAAGATCTCAGATAGGTGCTCCGGAAGGGTTAACAGATTCTGTTCCGTATATGGCACCCGTCTAATTGTTCATATAAGTATAAACCCGATGACAAGTTTGATACGATAGGTAACATTCGAAGAAAGAGGACGAGATTGTGGTAACGTGGTTATACGATTGGGACATATCTGTCGTCATCTGTGAAACGTAAAAACGAACATTGACGTAAAATTGGTACTATTAAAACAGACGTTTAGTTGAAAATTATATTTATCTGTCGTCATCTGTGAAACGTAAAAATGAATATTGACGCAAAAGTGATACTACAAAAAGAGAAGTAATAGAGAGTCATGGCCATGGCAAAAAAGAAAAAAAAAGACCAACAGAAAAACAACAGTACATTAAATACAACATAGTAAAGTTGCAAACTATATTTAAAAGAATGTTTATAAAGAAGTTATACATTTTCAACAATCTCATACAGCTATACACCAGTAGATTGTCGTCTAACTAAATAAGAACTTCAAGGTATTTATACAATGTATTCATATAGGATAACTGGCTGTCTCAAGGCCAATAAGTGACATATCGACATGGACTAATAGTCTTTATACAATGTATTCATATAGGATAACTGGCTGTCTCAAGGCCAATAAGTGACATATCGACATGGACTAATAGTCTTTATACAATGTATTCATATAGGATAACTGGCTGTCTCAAGGCCAATAAGTGACATATCGACATGGACTAATAGTCTTTATACAATGTATTCATATAGGATAACTGGCTGTCTCAAGGCCAATAAGTGACATATCGACATGGACTAATAGTCGTGTTTGTTGTTGAAGACCGTTTGTTGACAATGTGATTTTTTTTCACCATGTGTTAGATATTTTTTATTACCATTTGAATTCTGAGTCATAGACGGTCTTTCGTCATATGGCCAATATTAAAAGCATACATTGTATGAACGAAAAAAAGATGAGTTTCCATTGGATTAAGGGTAGATCGGTCCTCTCCAATCCGGATTTCCCTGTGGATCGGTAAAACCCGTTTTGTTCATACCGAAAGTTGAAACTTCAACAGTTATTTTTTCAACACAAATAAAGGAAAAGAGGAAGTCCGAGTTTTCTGTAAATAGTAAGTTTTTATATAATACAATTTTACTGCTATGTAGAAATTAAAGAGTTATTACGCACTTCTTTTTTTTTCTTGATAAACTTAAAGACGAAGATATGACTATTTACATGCAAATCACTGTGTCTTCTACTTTCCTACCAAGGTATTTCATAACCTTTTATGCAAATAAGACCGTTTTTACACCTTTAAAAGTATTATTACAGAAAATTTAAAAAAAAAATAAGTGGTGAACATTTTCCCCCGTTGCTATAGGATACGTCAAAATGAAACTTTTTGGGAAATTTATTTGAAATGATCCCCTCTGGTATTGTATGTTTTGTATTAATTGACATGACCACTAGAGAAATGACAGACATATGTTCAACGACAGATGATTCAACGTTGTATCTGAGTAGACAGTGAAAAATGAAAGCAGGTGTTTTTTTTTTATTTTTTCATCTTCTGTAGGGTTAAAAAATGATACTCAAAATCCTAAAAAAAGTTTTAATTTCGCATAAAGAAAAATATCGATTCAGCAACAACCTTCAAACTTTTCCACAGTGCATAGGTTTGTCTGTACTAAGTGTAAGTTTTGTGGTGTCAGCATTAACATATAAACTAAAAGATTAAAGATTAACCTAAAGGTAACGATTCAGATCATTTACCAAACAGAAACATATCATTTATCAAGAAACTAGTTATGACAATCAATAAAAGATATCTTACACAACCACGCAAATGAAGTATAAGAAGGTAAAGGCTATGTAACTGGAGCCTAATTATATTGATTGAGAGAAAATATTCTTTAGAGCGACGCCATTAAAAAAAAATTAAATACATGTTTGTGTCAAACAATGGAAGTATTATATTGGCACTATTATTCTTCCATGGTTAAATGGTTAAACTATATAAAGACTGTCTTCTTATGTTTTATAAATTTAAAGCTTTTATGAATCGAACAAATTTATCATACTTCATATTGTTTACTTAAATATCTAATTCAAATAAATGTCCTTGATTGTTCAGGTTTGTTGGATGTTTAGTATATAAGAATTACTACATGCACTGAGCTAGAAAATTTGCAGCGAGGGAAAGACAGAGCGATCTTACGTAACATTCCGTCGTCGGCGGCGTCAGCATTTATGTTAAGGATATATTCTTCTGACGTTTCAGTCTCGTTGAAATTTCGTTATGGAACTATTTCCAAAACATGTGATACAAGTAGAAAATATCAATGAATTAAAAAATGTTATAATCAAACTTAACTCTGTGAAAAAATTGTGTAGTTACAATAAGTAGTTTTTGAGTAATAATTTTTTCAAATTTTATTACCAATCAAGTCAGTCTTTTTAGCCAAAATTTTTAGAAAATGGGTGAGAATTACAAGAAATGATTTCACCAGAAACATGTACATCCCATATCACTTTTTCATTTTCAAATTTCTTAGATATATATTTTTTCAATCATTTATAACAAAGAAGTTGAAATAATATGCATTTTGTTCTTAAAATAGAGAAAAATCACAAATTTACAAAACTGACAGCTTGGTAATTTGACACGAAAACGCATCAAAATATGATAAAACTTTCTTATATTAACGCCTACCTATATTTTTTTTTAAGTTAAATTTATACAGATTGGTCAACTTCATCTTTATTGAAAGTATGAAAAAAAGTTTAATTGTGGAACTGTGATTTTTTTCACAATAATAGCCCAAAAGTGGATAAAAATTGAAGAAAAATGGGAAAATCACCAAAACTGGGTACTTTCAAAGGGCCGTAGCAAAGTGCATCACCATATGATTTTTTTTCACCAATTATCTTTTTACAGTCATATAAACCAAAAAATCAGGTTAAGAAAAATAGTTTAAATCTAGAAATTTTTGGCTCCTTAGAGGTGTACATCCTTAAGTCTGTGGTTAAAGTTTTTTGTTAGACATCAATATGTTTGTCAAACCTTCATGGAATTTTACGAAACATTGACAGAAGGTTTGTTTTTTTATGGTCAAATACAAGACCCAGAGAAAAAATTCAAAAAGTTTTTTTTTTTTTTTCTCCATTTTTCGTATTACTGATACATGGGTTTATTTTACAGTTAGAATAACGATACAGTCTAACTAAAGGTTAAAGCTTCACGGATATAAATAACATTGTCTAACCTTCATGAAAATTAACGATCTTGGACAGAATTTTTTTTATAAATATCTTTTTTTTTCATAGTTTTTATACGACCGCAAAATTTTTTTTGGGTTCGTATAAATCATGATGTCGTCGTCGTCTGCGTCGTCGTCGTCCGAAGACACATTTGGTTTCCGGACAATAACTTTAGTTTAAGTGAATGGATCTCTATGAAATTTTACAAGAAGGTTCAATACCACAAAAGGAGGGTTGAAATTGACTTTAGGGGGTTATGGTATCAACAGTTTAGGAATTCGGGGTCAAAAGGGGCCAAAAACAAGCATTATTGTAGTTTCTGGACAATTACTTATGTTTAAGTGTATGGATCTCTCTAAAATTGTACTCCAAGGTTTCATACTACAAAGGGAAGACTGGGATTGAGTTTGGGGGTAATTGCTTCTAGGAGAGGGGAAAAAGTTGGGGGGGGGGATTTTTTTTTCAAATTTTTTTAAGGGGTTCATATTTTTTTTTCTTAAAAATTTTTCATATCTTCTATTGCACAGTATTACGCAATAGATTTTTAAGATCTTTGACCACTATCGTTATGTATAAGAAACCTATATTATGTCAAAAAATATGATCACACTCCAAATTCAGACAGTATCAAGCTTGAATTTTGTGTCCAAATTTGCCCCAACTGTTCAGGGCTCGACCTCTGCGGACCTTATAGGCTGCGCTCAGCGAAGCAATTTATTTCGTTCTTTACAGATAAAAGGCTTTTTTGCAGTTAACATTTAGACAAGTCTAGGGTTTAATTTTTTTAGACATGAATTATTTTGTGTCAAATTTATAGCATTTCATGAACTTTTGGCTGTCTGTCTGGCAATTATCATCTGACCATGACCTCATTTTCATGGTTCATTGGTCAATCTTAAGTTTTCCTGGTTTAGTTTGTTTCTAAGATAATATATTCAAAAGGTCTATATTGAAAGCATTTAATGATTGTAAGGTGTACATGGTTGTTTCGCAGGGTTCATCGGACTTTGGCCTCATTTTCATGGTTCATTGATCAATGTTCATTTTTTCTGGTTAAGTTTGTTTCTTAGATGTGCAATAGGTCAACTATATTTTAAGCATATTTGGTGTATGGAATGATTGTAAGGTGTACATGTATTTCCAGTTTGGTTTATCTGATCTTGACCTCATTTTCTTGGATCATGTTACGTTTATGTGATAGTTGTAGTAAAGCTTTATATTTAGAACTATCAACATAATATCAATGGTTAGTAAAGAAGGCGAGACATTTCAGCGTGTGCACTCTTGTTATTTATCTTTAACATAATTAATTATTTGTTTCAATTATTGTCTTGTTGCAATGCAACATCCTACAGGAGTCCAAGCTCCTCCTCAAGTTCAAGTTCAAAATTCTTTATTTAACCTCAGACACATTTAGTGTACAAGAGGACAATAAACTAACATTATTAATATAAATGATGGCAGACGAGACTGACAAAATACAGAGAAAATACAGTAAAATCGAACATATGATATCATGCTTCAACAAAATATCTAAGTTCTATAAAATCCCAATCTGATTTTTTCTAAAAAAACTTCGAGATTTTTTTCAGGAACAAAGACACTGTCAGATTTTTTGTATAGTTGAACATGACATAATGATAACATATTTTTCATGTTTATCTCACTTGGATTTGTATTATAGAAACCTGATGTACCCTGTAACATTCCACTAACTACTCAGGGCATTAATTAGTTGTAAAACTCATAATACAGCAAATATATATTCAATAATATCACTCTGATTCACTCATTGTTCAAATGTTTTCTAATGGTTACTAACATATTATTTTGAATTGTCACACTTACTCTTCTATTGAATTCATAAATGAAAATTGAAAAAACATTGACATTTTTGTCTTTTGATAAGATATGTAATACGCTTTGTAAATTGAGAAACATGCAATTTTTAAAAAGTAATTCAAGCTAAAATAGTCTTCGTCAGAAATTTTATATATTCAATTACTAAATGTTTTAATTTGAGCTTTAAAGTTATTTTACTCCTCTTTAAAGCTTCATATATTTTATTCCAACAGATTTTTCAAATAGGACATATTATAAAGAAGTGATCGTAATCTTCTTGTGTACAAAAGTTACAAAAACTATTGTTTACAATTTTCCACCCGAATTAAAGTTTCTTTGTAGGTAGAATATGTTGTAGTAATTTCCATCTAAAAGTTTCAATAGAAAAATAAAGGATATGGGGTATCCATCCATGACACAAAATCAGTACATGCACAGCCAAAAAAAAAAAAAGAAAAAAGAAAAAAGAAAAAAAGGACAGTACTTTTAATGCTGTTCCTCATCTTAAAGGGGCATTAGCTACGAGATAAAAAAAAAACTTAAAATATGATTTTTCTTTGTTCAATCTTGAATGAAAGTGAAAAAGTTAAATAATAATTCGCTTTTTGCAGCCAGTTTGGTTCAATTTTGTCTAAATAAGCAAAGAAACATCGCTGATGAATTATTCACTTTCAAGTGAATAATTCGATCTCATTGAATCCGTATTCATGTGACCTTTAATTAAACCACTTAGCTAGAGTTGGGTTAAGCATGAATTAGGCGTGTTCAGTTATCAAAAGGAAAAGAATGTCAACATTGAAAGTGAAACAATGGTAAACCGTTTGATTGACTGATTCGATCCACAACAAACTCATTCTTATAAAGGTAAACACGATGATTAACATATATTCGTAACCTATAATATGAATCAAACAGACCTAGAAAAATCCAATTGCACGAGTTCGCTATCTATTTATTGCTTCGCACCACGGTGCGGAGCTATTAGTTTCAGTCGATATACACGCCATCTTGAAATAATTACTTATC